CTCTCATCTGTTTTCCTCTCTTTTCAAAGGTGGTGGGAGAAAGCTTCCGTTTCTTTCCTTATTGGCTCTGTTGTCTACAGCTAGCTTTGGTCTCTCAGATGATTGCTTCCTGATTCTTCTTAGATCTGCTGCTCCTGTCTTCACCTGTTGAGTGATCTTCTTCCTGCATTCTTAAAAAATATTTTTCAGAGGTAGGGTTACTTTTATGGATGATATTGTTGGCTGCTTGATGATTTGGGACTAAGTCTTTGGTAATTTTTTTCTCCTCTTGGAGCTCTGCTTAGTAGAAAGGAATTAGAACCTGAAATAAGTAGCTAGAAAAATACATAAGAAGCAAAAAAGGGGAAACTTGAGATAATTTTTTTCATGATTTTTGTTTACCTCTTATTTGAGGCTCACAAGTTCTGTTTTATATAGGCACTAGGTGGTATTATGTTGTTGTCTGCTAAAATAATAATCAGAGATCCTTGCAAAAAGAACTACCAGGGAGAGGGGAAAACTAAGGATTCGAGCTTTTTGAAGTAAGAAAAGTTTCCATGTTATGAACTTAGAGACCTAATATACAAGAGTGGTTTAACTCCTCAGTTGTTGTCCAAAGGCAACACTCCACCTCAAGAAAGCTTTTTTTAAATACGCACAACTGAAAGCAAGGAATACCACTGAAATGACAAGTATTTCTCTTGTCTGAAACCAGCACTTTACAGTTAATAATTAGTTATCATGTAATGTTGACAGGTAATACTAGCACCAGAACTATGTCTAGATAAATTTGCTGGATTTATGGCCTTCTGTGTTTTGATTTTTTTTATTTATTTATTTTTAATAGATTATATTTACTATAATTCCTGTAAACTTTTGAAGTAATTTCATGTTATAATTCCAAGTTTTTCCTTGGAACATTGTCTTTAAAAAGTAAGAAATATGACCTGTTGGGCCTTGACAAAGTAAAAGCTGTGTACGTGTTTGCTTCCAAAGTAGATAATTGAACATTTGTCTTTGTAAAACCTGCATGCGTTTTTGAATAAAGTTATACTATTAAGCTTAATCCATGGCAAGGAATTGGAAAGAAATTTTAGTAGTTTTATATTAAAAAATGAGCTAGAAAAATTTAAAGGGTGGAGACAACGAAACTTTGAAAGCGTTTGTAAACTATTCATTCAGGTATTCAAATCATAAAAGTAATTCTAGGAAAGAGCTGACCTATAAAATACCTTCTGAAAAGGAAGCTCTAATATTAACTCCATTTTTAACAGAGACCAGGATTTATTAAGCACAGGCATTTTAGTTGTATTTTAAAAATAAAGAAGTGTCTTTGATTTTTAAATTACATTGGTCTAGACTTTGACAAAATCGAATTATTTGTGTAGACCAAAAGGCTTAGCAAAAAAATATTGCTAAGTGTCAAGTGTTAGATTAGGATTAGTTCAGTCAATGTTTTCTCCCGGTGTTAATTCAGTACGACCTGCATTGTTTTGGGGTTTGGGCTGACAAACGCTAAGCCTGCTCTGTAAAGCGGAGGAATTGGGAATTTAAGTGGGATGTACTTGGAAGTTTCATGGCTTTGTTTTCTTTTCATTTTATGAGTTAGTCATGAGTATTGCTCGTCCTATACTTGCCAATTTCACTTTGCATTTAAATGGACAACTTCCATTTAGTGTTAATAACATAATAGAAATCAGGCCAATCAGGCAGAACTTGTTTATCTTTATGTCAATTGTGCTTAATATTTTGTTCCATATATTCTTGAAATTACAAAAGTAATGTGATTAAGTATTAGGGCTTCCCAGTGTTCACAGGACTAAATTGGTTACAGAAACAGAGTTACTATAGAAAATATTCTAAGGTTTCGTATTGCTGTTTTGGACTCGCGTGGAAAATTTTGTTCTCTTTGTTGGTAACTCCTCATATGTGTGTGCTGTGTATTTGTTCCCATGTGGTAAAAACAACTGTCTCCTAAATATGTTTAACATTTTACTGATTTTTTTTTTTTTTTAATGCCATTGGAGATGGCCTTCTAAAATGCTTTTTTTTCCCCCTTGTCATCAACAATTTTATAAATAGAAACCTAAGAAAAATGCAGGGTAAAATCTAGTAAGACATACTACTTGTTTAATTATATCTTTATATAACTTGTATCAGTGTAACGGCAGATGTAAGATTAGTCCAGGCTTACGCTGAGAGCTGACTCTGGCTCATTTAATTTTGTCATTTCATTTATTTTGTCATAGCATATTGGTGTCAGTATTAGAGCAGAATGTGAAACATCGCCCTTGAGAGAATCATATGAGAAAATTAATGAAGGGGTGGGTTGGTTTTTGGTTTGGTTTGGTTTGTTTTTTTTTTCCTCTGGAGCATTGATCTGATTGTGTGCAGATCTTCAGTGAAATAAAAACGCCTCAGCTGGGGCAGTTGGCAGTCTGAGGCTCCAGTCCGTCATCTGATCTCTCTGAGCCGCCTGCGTCTCCCCTGTCTTGTTTCATTTACCTCAGTGGGACTTCACTCAGGTGTGAAGGTCTGCCCTCAGCAGCTCAAATTGCAGGGCTGGGCCCTAAATTAAGATGTGACAGGAGTAGAAGCAGTAATGTACCGAGGAGAACGGAGGAAGAGAAAGGAAATGTTGTGACAATAAAATTACGTGGTTTTGAGATTAATTTTACACTTTGAGGCATTTACAACTGCGGACCGTTTTATTATATACCGAGAAAGTGAGTGGTATTTCTGAGAAAACTTTCATCTTTTTGATATCACTTGAGTTTCTAATAACAAAGTACAGAGCAACAATGAAAGACTTCAATATGACTTCCTTCTTTCTGAGAAGGGATTGGTTTGAGTTACCAGCAATATTAGAAGTGAGCCTCAGCTAAAACTCAACAAAAGCGTACAGGAAACCACAGGGTATTTCAATGTGATCATGTAAGTCAGGTGCAGGTAAGGGCAGGATTTTTGTTTTGTTTTTTTGTTTTGCTTTGGTGTGTTTTGATTTGTTTTTTAATAATGGATTTCAACCAAGGAAGGCGTTTACCTTCAGCTCTCTTGAAAATAAATAGCGCCGAGTTTTTGAAAGCTGGCAAGATGGTGATTGATGTTTATATTCATAGAAAGATGAAAATGTTGCCTCTGTTGTTGTCTTCATTTAAAATAAAAAAAAAATACCCCTTTAACAAATAAAATATGGGGATATCTTATATCTAATTGTTGAGGCTAATTTCAGAATTCTTCATCTATAGTATCACTTGCAAAGGTCTTTGGAAGAAGGCAATTTGCCATTAATGTATTATTATTATTTTTTAAATATTACTATTTTTAATATTAACTTGAGTTTCTGGAGAGTCTCTGAATGGTCGAGCATAGAGCTGTATTTTGTAGCAGGAGTACAGGTGTATATAAAAGCTATTTTGTACATAAAAAATACTGTAAAATACTCTTTTAATTCTGTCCTGAATTATGTTCATTTAAAAAGGGAAAAAAGGCAAAGCTAGAGCTTTCAAGTGATTTTGAAGTTAGAAATATTTTAGCTTTGTTTTTCCTTACTAACAGCTGTCACTTCCTATGAAGACCTTGGCCTGTTTGCATTTGGATCAACTGGAAAGGTGAGTAGTTATTTTTACCTGTGTATTTTTCTTCTTCGTCTCATGCTCCTGATGCATGAGACTGTTTTTTGCATAGTAAAGAGATATAAATGAACAACTGTTCTTTGCACAGTAAAGAGAGATAAATAAGTACTATAATTACTGACGTCCTAGTGTACTGGAAAATCCGTTACGTCCTGAAGCTTTTTGCTATGTTTCAGTTAGTGTGTCTGGTCCGTGGAAGCCCAAACTTTAGTTAACTGTAAAATAGACAGTCCTTAAATGCAAGATTTTGTGCTACTTTCCTGTCAGTGTGTTCATTTTTTAGTTGTATGTACAAATATTTGCTCACTGGCATTGCTGTCAAGTTGGCTCAGCAATCCGTTTCAGGTTTGTTACAGTCCCATCGTACCTCTGCTGTAAACTGTTAAGAGATAGGTAAGTGATTTACCCTTGGTGTTCTAGCATTTAATAGAGATCTAAGATAACTGTTTGCCTTTTGTGTAGTTTCCACAATAGGAACAAATAAGAGTATGTTTAATGCATGTTAATTTTTTCCTTTTGTTTAATAAACTCTTCAGATGAATGTTTCTTACTTGTTTTATCTCATGATTAAACAAAAACCAAAACCACCAGCAAACTAACCATTTTTGGTATAAGAGTAATCAACATGTAAGCCATGCCTTTTTAGTAGTGTGTACTGAATCTGTTTTTCCTAATAGACGATGTTGTCCAGTAATACTGGGTGCACAGGAAATACTACTTGAGAATACTGCACATTTAATATTATGACTTCTATGCTCTGTGTTTCAGTTACACGATGCCGAAAGCAGATTTTACCACACAGAAGTGTGATTTTAATGGTTTACTGAAACAATGTAATTTTTTTTTTTAAATGAGTTCTGCTTAACAGTCTAGAGTCTAATTTCTTCTGTTTTAATGTAACTGAGAATTAAATCTGAGCTATTAGGTGTTTGTAAGACTTCCACTAGCATTAATAAGCAGATATGAGTGTAGTCTGTGAGGATCAATATTTATCGATCAGAGTTAAGATGTGATCAACCTCAAGAGATAATAAACCTTGATATTAGCAAGGTATGAAATAGAATTATTTTTTACAGGAGCTGTTCTGTACACGTTACCACAAGCCATTAGATGCAGAAGTCATAGAAATGTAGAGCTTAAGGAGATATTAAAATGTGACTTAGTCTGCCTTTGCTCTGAGGCAGGGCTAAATATACATAAACCATTCTTGGCAGATGTTTGTCTAATCTGTTATTTAAAAGCTTAAATGAAGGAGATTTCACAGCTTCACTATGTAGTCAACATCAGTAATTTTTTTTTATTCTCCCTAATACACTTCTTCATAATTTTCAGTTTAAATAATTTGTGCTAAAAATAATCTGTTTTTTTATTTTCAGTGTGCATGGAGAGCACTGGAACAGTTCTAGGTCGGGAAGCTGTTGTTTTGATAAAATAATTAACCAAAGTTCACCAAGCTTTCCCAATGAACTGACATTTTCTGGAACACTTATCTTTCTTGCTTGAAGTACCTTTGATATTTATACACCTTTTTTAAAACTTGCCTGCAAAATGGAACACAGTTAAGCTGGCTGAGACCTTGACAGTGACAAGAAATGTAATTATTACCTATATTTTAGGTAGAACATGGCCGGTACTACGTCCCAAAACAAGATTTGCTGTTTCTGTGGGTGCTTCATGCTACTGATTCGTGTTATCTCAGACTATTTTCTCTATTTGCAATCTAATAACTCTTAAGTCACATATTTGAGATCTACTTCCTGAATGCATTGCTTTTAACTGATCTTGTTGATTTTTAGACTTTTCTAGTTTACTATAACCGTTCTGAATTCTAATTCTGTCCCTGAATGCTCCTCACTTCAGTCAGGCACGAGTGGCTTTTTTTTTTTTCTTTTTTCTTTAAAGTAGTACTTACCCTTCCCTCAGCCGAGTCATTTGCCAGTGATACAGACCGACTGCTGTAGGACCTTGCTTGAACTGGCGTCCTAGGTTGGCAGTAAACTACTGGTTAACTGCTCTTGAAGTAGAGCAGTAATTCAACCTTATGGCGATTTCCTATCAAACATATTTTTCTGAGATTTGTGAGGATGGAGATTTTTCTGCTGTTGGAAGATTGCTGATTCTCCCTTTCCAAAGGCATGAAGTACTTGTTTCCATCTATGGCAAATTCCAAGATACCATACTTTTTTTTTTTTTTTCTTTCATCCCCTGGTGACTTTTGAACTGACTTTGAATTAGTTTAAAATCTTTCTAGCTGTTCAATTGAAAAAATGGCAACTCTGCTTTCAGATTTCATTCAAAAATACAAATTTGTTTTTCTTCTTATAACTGTGGCTTAATTTTTTCCAAGTTGACTTAATGGTAGCACTCATGTAGGAAGGTCCTGCTACATCAAGAGCAGTGGTGGGTAAAAAGAAAAACTGTACTAGATGGTCATATTGTTTTAGAACTGAATTGAAAAGAAAACACTGGGGAAACTTTAGACACTTTTAGGTTTTTTTCAGTTGGAAGTTAATTCTTTGGATTCAGACAAATGTTTTAATAGCCTGTGATCATTTCTATTTCCGTGTCAGTCCAATATGAATAATCACAAATGCTAAAGAAAAGTCTATCTAGTTTGTAAGTTTAAAAGAATAATGACATTCATGACAGTTAAAAATATGCAGGTTTTTGGAGTGAGGAAGTAGCTTGTACAAATCTCTGCTGTCTGATTTTCTTTTCAGAGGTGAATGGTCATTTTCATTTGTACTCACCTGATGTCAATTAGAATGCACTTACATGTTTTCAGTGATTTAAAAACCTCATCTTCTGCAGAACAGGCTTCACTCTATAACTTCTCTTTTTTTGTCATCTCAGAATGAAAATGCAGTATTTTCAGGGAGATTTTTTGCTTTTGTATTCATTTTAGATTGCGTTGGTTTCCATGTGTTAAACTCTTCAGTAGAAGATGCCCTTCCTTTCAGTACCAGTTATCGCTTCAACATCTGGTCTGTTTAAGATAATACATATGTGTTTTATGGCTGCTATAGACATACGATTTTAGTTATCCTTACCCTTTCTAAAGAAATAAATTTTTTTTATAGGTCCTTGTTGCAACTACAATAATTATCCAGAATATTGGAGGTAAGAAACTTCATATGCTCAGTATTAACCGAGTGGAGTATAACCTTTACAGTCTACAAAGCTCCACAAACACCAAAGGCAATAATTAAATGAAACTGTTCTTAAGAGACTGATTAAAAGGACAGAAAACTTAAGCCTTTTCTTTATATGACCATGCTAAGTGGAAGTGCTGTGGTCATGGGGTAGATGGGGGGGACTTACGGGGGTTGGATTGTATGCCTGATACTGCATCACAGGATGTGGAGCACATCCATTATAGCTGGCATTACTAATTGGAAGGGGCTGAGGAAGCATAATCTCCTCTCCGCTGTTCCGTACCTTTGCATCTGGTAGCTACGTTTTATCATATCATGTGTTTTGGTTTTTGCTGTTGGAACTTGCTTATGCATTTTAGTGATTTGTGTAACAATGGAATGTTTACTTAGCCATGAAGTTTCATATGGTCTTTATTAATGGTAGCTTTTTTTGTTAGTTCAGTACCTTGGTTTTTTGGGGGATTGTTTAGTTTGCTGACTTCCATTGTGTGGGTCAATAATCTATGTTGTCGTATGCTGGGCTGTCCTGTTACGTTATTCTTATTTTGTCCTCCTTGGTGCATGACATGATAAAATAACACTAGCTGTCTTTGTATTAAAATAGTCGCCTAAGCATTTGAACTCTTACTCAGGTATGTTCACATACTTGGCAGTTACTAAGTAGTAGTGCCCTTAGAAATTAATTGTCTGAAAGTAGACAGAACAATTTTAAATTTTTTTGGCCGTAGATGTTTTGGATAATTTGATGAGGTATGAGGGTATTATGTGAAAGCTCCCTCCTTTCCACCCCCTACCCCCAAGAAGATACACATGTTCACGTACGTTGACAGAAGGAAACAGCATTCCAGCGCTGTTCTTTCCTTTAGGATTACCTGTAGAGTCCAGACAATTCAGTGGTTGCTGGTTTTTGTCGCTATGTAGAGACCTAGAACTAGACCAAGTAACTGCTTTTATGATAAAATTGGAATCTTTTCTTACACTAAAAGCTCCAATAATAAAAAGTGCCTAACTGAAATGGCTATAAAAACCCAAGCATTAATTTCAGGCAGGAGTGAACATATTAATTCCAAGATTAAGGATTATTTATTCACACAGGTTTTAGAGGATATTCTGTAGCAAGGAACACATTTTTGAATTTCCTTTTCCATTTGAGTGGACCTCTAAATAAAACAGTACTAGAGAAGGAGGGATACACGGTACAGGTTCTGGAGGCTATGGGATTGTGTAGAAGAGACTGTGGTCAAAGGAAATATGACTCTTATTTTTTCCTCATAGCAGTTCATAACCTTCTCTGTGTCATTTTTAATAAAATTCACCTCAGTAACTCCAGAGCCCCAAACTATTGCATGCTGGATATTATCAAACTACTAATTCCGTCTTCTGCAGTTGGCCTTCTCTGCCAACAAGTTGGGCCTGGTTTGCCAACCAGTGGTTTTCCGTTTAACTAGTTTAAAAAGTAGGTTTTTGCGAGTTGACACTCTTCTTTCAAATATTTTTAGTGACCTCATTTTGATGGAAGCTTTCAAAACTCTGTTTTGGTTCTTCTGGTTCCAAGGGCAGTATCTTTCATGTAAGGGAATGGTAGTAGTTCCCGCATCCGGTATGTTCGTTTGCAAAGACCACTTAGTTTCAAATGCACTGGAAAGCGAAAGCTGACTTTCCTTCTCTGAATCAGTTAGTGTTAGTAGTGGCCAAGCATGCCCCAGTCTGTGAGGACAGGTGATCTGTGGAAACATGGGTTGCAGGTTGGGCCTCCTTGGCAGCTTCTCCCATAGAGAAGATGTATTGTGCTGTCATTGCAAGGAGCTATCACAGCTCCTGTTTAGTATTCAGAGTTTTGTTTGGGAACAGAGCTCCCAGCTGTGTTCTTTCTCTCCTTAACAACTGCCTTTGGCAGAGTCCTGTGATGCTGCAGTCCAATTCAGCAGAGCAACATTGTGTCCAGAATCGTCTTTGCAGATGACTGTACTGCAGGGTAACAGGCTTTTTAAAATAGGAGGGATGAAGAGCTCTCTTCACCTCTCACTGAGCCTTGACTCTTGAAGAAATGCATAGAAAGAGAGGAAATTTTCTTGTCTTTCTGGTCCGTCTACGGATTCTAAAAGGGAGTGGTGAAACTGTGTGGTGTGTTTTGTCCTGAATGGGAGCCATGCTGGAACGAAGTGTAAAACTTAACCCTTTCCCCTTAGTGCACTTCGGTAGGTGTTCCCCTCTTTTTGTTTTTTTGTCCGTTTGAAGGAACCAGCAGCGCCGTGCCCGTTGGGCAGACACCCAGCCTCTGTCAACATCTTTAATTTCAGAGTAAGGCTAAAAATAAAATTGTTTTCTGTTTTCTCCTCCATCATCAGACCTGGGTGCATTGCATCATACGGTATCTTATTTCAGAAGTGATTAGAGAGCATGAGATAATGAATGATGGTTTGTGATTAAAATAAGCAACTTTAGTAGGGTTATTGTCACTATCAGCATCTAGTCTGGGCTTTTTAAAGTTTGGTCTGATCGCTTCTAAAAATAATTTAAGTGCGGAAGTGATTTACATTCATTTGTGGTGGAGAGAGCTTTTTAGTAAGCATTTTAATATAGTTATGCTTTCGAATTTGTCATCTTTGCTTTTTTGAAAAGAAAGCTTAAGGTGCAAATTTGAATTTGGCATCCTAATTGGATACACTTACGGATTTGTGTAGATAGGGGAGATCTACTAGCAGGATACCCAAAGAAAAAAAAAGATTTTTGTACAGCTACAGGAAAGCACTGGTTGGTCAAATTTGGAATTTAAAAGGTTAAAAAGAAAAAGTTTATTTCAAGTACATGGCTTGGAATTTTAACATGTATCTCTAACATGAGTGCTCAACTTCCCTGCAGGTTTTTAATCGTCTCTTGGAACACTTTATGTTACGTTAATCCAAGTAACACAAACCAAATACCAAAATCCATTTAAGTACCAAGGATTACCTAAGGATGCATCAGGATAATGCCTTAACTTTGCAATATCCAAATGTAAATTAAGGTCATCTTAAATATGGTGACTTAAAGACTTCATAGAACATACACAAATTCTTAGCTTACAGTGATTAAACTTTGAGAATATTTGCTTAGCTTTCCTTATATCAATATGTACTTGTTCTTGCAGCGTAGGTATTTGTTAATAAAGTGAAACCAAAAGGTTGAATGGGATGGCCAGAGCTACTCATTTTTGTACTGTTCTAGTTGTCAGTGTTTTGGCCCAGTCCAGCAGCCCTTTAATCTACGTAACTAGTGATTAGTTACATGGGAACTGCCTTGCTCTTGAAAGAGCCAGTTCGTGTGTCTATGGGGTTGCAAAGTGGATACTGGAAAGGAAACGATCACATCGCCTACTACCAGGCTGTTACTTTGTTCATCCATTCCTCCCGACCCTTTCCTTTCACCCCACGTCTCTAAGTGGAGTGATCTTCCAAATGTCCGTTTCTCGCCTGCCATGCAGAAGATGATCTGGAAGGATTTCGGACCTTGTCGCGTGCCCTGTGAGATGAGAGGGGGCCCTTGGGGAAGTCGTACGCCTGGAGGTGTAGAAGGAGCGAGGGAGGCTGCTGTGGAAAACACTAAGCTCCATGGCTCTGCGGGCTCTTTACGTAATCCTTCCCAGGAGCGACTGGAGTTGGACGGAGTCCCCGCTATTGTTTTAATAGCGTTGTGCTTCTAGGAAGTGATGGATGAGGCACGGTGGGCCGAAGCCGTGCTCGGCGTCACGCAGCCCTTCCCCCTCTCCTGCCAGGGAACTTCTGCAAGCTTCCTAGATGCTCTCTGAAAGGGGGGGAAGGAAGACGGGAATTTCTCCTCCTGGCATTGTCCTCTCTGCGGATGTGACTGAAAAGGAGGACAGTCCACAGCCGTGTGTCTGAGAGGAAATCGGTAGGAATCTTAAAGCAAATGTAATGAAGTTAGAGAAGGAATCATTTTAGCAAGGCTGGTGGAAAAATGGAGACAAACACAATGAAGTATTGCACAAGAGCAGCTCTCAGTCTGTTGCCAACACTAACAAATCTTCAGCATTGAGGTCTAGCAGGAAGTATGCAGAGAGTTTTACAGCATACTTCTCTGGGCTGCGGGCTGGTATCAGCTGAAGGTCACCGCTGCAGGGAGATCCGACCGGTCCCAGAGGGTCTGGTAGCTGTGATACAGAAAGATAAATTGAAACGGCTGAGAACATGAGTTTAATTATTTAAAATTTATTAGCAGTGGGATTAAGTGCAACAGTAGAACCTGCAGTACGGCCATGTAGCATAGGTGGTCTGTATGAAGACTTTTTGCAGCAGACTTTCCTTATTTTTTCAGTTCCTTTCGAGAGGCTGAGATACACGGGGGAATTCTTGTGCTGAGGATCGGTCGGAGCAGCTAGCCTGTCTTGGCTTGTACCCAAATGATCACTGCAGTCGCTCTTTGGAACTAAGCTTTCCGGAGAGCTATCTTAATTTTACAAAGAATTACTTGCTTTCTAGTATAAATACAGTTTAACTAAGTGTAATTTCTGTAACTGGTGCTTGCGGATTTTGTTTCAATATTCTGCAATTAACATGTCCTCAAAAGTACATGTTTTTCTTCTTTGTAAGAATAAGTAATGAGGAAAAAAGATTGTTCCGTATCCCTGGAGCGCTGTTTTATCCTCGGGTCTGCCTGAATGCTATAGGCAGTAAGTGGAAGTTACAGGATTAGTTCTGATGGGAGATTCAGTTCTTTAGCTGGATTTTATGGCCTGTTAATAACAGTCATCGTGACGGACAACACACAGAAACCCTGCTATGAATGTAATACATGCGACATAGGTATTTACATTTGGATAGTTCGTATTTTTCAAGCTTCCCGCAGTAAATCGGGAGGCGTGACCAGTGGAAAAACCAGGTAGGTAAATAACGCTGAGAGTGCGCGGACGAGGAGGCCGGCCTGGAGGCCCGCGGCGGCCCGGGCTAGGTGGAGGAGACCCCGGGC